GTGTGTGTGTGTGTGTGTGTGTGTGTGTGTGTGTGTGCGCGCGCGTGCGCTGACCAGGGGTGTGTGCGTCTCCGTGCCCTTGCTGGCGAGTCGGCTGAGGATGCTCCTCTCAGACATCTGCAGGCGGGCGGCGATGGGCGGGACTCTGGAGAGCGTGGCCGGTAGCCGAGTCACGTCGGCCTTCATGTCACTCAGCAGCTCCTCCAGCTGGTTCAAGACTGCGGGCAGGACAAACGCCATGACAGAGGRACAGGAAGGGGCGCCGCGAAGGGGGGGTCGACAGAGGGGAGGGCAACGGTCACCACAAAAATTACAATGAATGTTTTTTTTTTATTTATTTCATTCTAGAAACCTGCTTACTGCTGTCACTCTTACTATGGCTATCACTAAATAAATCTTCTGATGTTCTTAGAGGAAATGCTCCAGGCTGCACCTGAACTGCTACAGCTAGCTGCTAATGCATGTGCTYGTCAAATAATCAGAGAATCCAACGGTAAGTAAAAAGTTGGCAGTAAAAGAAAAAGTTTTCAAAATACTGTTCACCCAATGCTATTTGGTACTGGCCCCACTTGGACTTGCCTTTAGCTCATCATTTTGGTCCAAATTAAGTTACCAGGGTGAGCCGCCATATTGGATCAAGGTCAAGTTTTTTCAAGAATAGGCCCACCTCACCCAGCATCTGCTGGGATATTCAGATGTYATTTTCCCTTCTGAAATCAAATGGGTGTCCTGCGACTTTTGACTCAMCCTGTAGTTCTCCAAGCTGTTTTTCAAAGAGCTATCTGCAACAGGTAAGATATTAATGGTTCATAACCTCTCYACAGAAACTCCACTTTGAAAGATTTTTAGTATCAATTTAAAATTTACTGAATAATAACACCAATATATCATATTTTAAACTCTTTTTTTACATGTAGGTGATGTTAAAAACTATTTAATAAACATTTACTTCAACTATAAGAACCAGACTAAAAATACTGCTGTTTATATTTTATAAACTAAATATAGTTTATTGTTGCTGTATTATTTATGCTGCAAATCACTCTGGGTGATGCACCCTTATACACACACACACATACTATATTAGGAGTGCAACGATACAGGAAATTCACAGTTCGGTTCGATACTTTAGTCTCACGGTTCAATATTTTTTCGATACAAAAAAAGAGAAATTTCCATGCCCCTTTTAACTTGTAATTTATTTATGTTAACTATGAACATTTGTTTAACCTCAAAAGTACAGTTTTTTAATTAAATTTTGCTGAAACAGCAAGTTTCTCAGTGGATCTGCGCTCAAAAATGCAGCCTAGGTGGAGTAGTCGAACACAGATCCACTGATCCTTCAACAC